GACTCTTAACCAATTGAGCCACCCAGGCGCCCCTGTGATCCTTCTTTATATCCCCCTGAGGCCAGCTACTTGCAATGTCTGGTATAGAGCACAGCTTGGTGAATAAGGGCTTCTTGACTGTTTCTTAAGCTTTCCCTAAACCCATTGTTATTGCATAACAGAATTTTCCACACCCTCCAGCAGTATCATCTGAAGCACATCTTTCTGAATACATGACCGATGCATGTTAAGAAAAGAAGACAAAACTAGAAAACTGGTGAAGACCAAGAAACAGAGCAAAACCACATAGTTAGAATAGCTTCTTTCACCAAGCTAGTCTATACCTCCTCTTTTCTTGTGACAGATTTTTACAGCCTACCTTACCTGCATTCAGAGCCAAGAAGGTGATGTGATCCAAATACATATTTCTTAACCATGCTGTGAGAAATTGGCAGTTTGATAGCAGTATCTGAAGTTCCCTGGGCCAAGGCTACCAGGTTTCCAGGCGTAAAGTTACCTAGCATAAAGAGCACACACATTCCCACACCAGTCTCTTGGTATTAAAAAGGTATCTTACCATTTACAGTCTAGAATAGCCTTGAGCAAACAGAAGGTTGCTTATGGGCTCTGGACCTCCTTTTGAACATCACAGCTCTATAATGACTAGAAGTAATAATGAGAAAGAGTCATTCATTAATTTTGTAAAGTTTACTATAAAACTTCTGCTCTGAGCCAGGTCCCAGGTTAGATTTTGAGGATAAAGATATGAAGAGACCCTGTCCCTGCCTTTAGAGACTTTACAGACAAGTAAAGGAAGTACATGAAAACAGTTTTATAAATTTAACACTACTGTCATTTTAAAAAGTTGAGGATTTATCATGCCTCTCTTCTCAAAATTGGGATTGTTAACTAGCATGGGAATAGTCACCTAGCACTGAGCTTCTAAGACCTTAATGTAGGGGGATACCATACCATTATGTGTGACTTCCTCAGATGTAAAACCATGGCAGATACAAATAATAGTACTCATTTTTATTGCAAAGCACTTTTCACATCACAAAGTACTTTTACATCCATTATCTAATTCAATTGCCAAAGTAACCCTATGAGGGATAAGAGGATTATTATCTCCTTTTATAGAAGAAATTAAGTGCTTATAGAAGTGACTTGCACTTATAAAACTAGTTAATTTGTAACAGAAACCTGAATTTTTAAATTCTCAGTTCAAAGTTCATTTTAATCATATCATGGTGCCCTTGTCACCCAAATTTTGAAGAAAAGCCAAATGACTCATTTTCAGCTATAAGAAATGTCTAGAATAATGCTAGGGTCTGTAAAATATATTAATATGCACATTTAATATAAAATATTTAGTTTTCCTTCAACCTGAAATGGAAAAATTATGCAAAAACACAGAGAACAATTTGTGAAGACTTTAAAAAATCATAAATGCCACGATTCTCCCATCCTTAATCCTCCCACAATCTGCTCATATAACAATAAATTCCGGTTGCCAATAATTTATTTCACAAGTCTTCTATAATACAAAAACACATAGCAAAATTAAAACATTTCCTACAAAGCCACTGTGCAGATTTTTCAATCAAACCTGAAAGGCTGAGGAAACTCCCAGAAACCACTCTACTATCTGGGAACTTGTAACCCTGTTGCTTCATTTTCAAGTTCAAAGAGTGAGTGGACAATGCATTTATAGTACAAAAATTCAAGTTTTCCCAATCCTTAAAATACTGAGGCCATTATTCAAGTAAAAAGGAAAAGCCAGTAGAAAAGGCTCAAAAACAATTCATCCAGCGATAAAGCTTAAAGAAAACCCTTTCCAAAATGTAATTTGGGAGTCAACATATCCATGAAAAATTCAAATATCCTTTCTGGTGTAAGACAGTTCTTTAATTAAAGTAGACCACTTGTCCTTTGTAGCCGCTTTCTGCTCTAAGAGGGGGAAAAAAAAAAATCTCTGAAATCACTGTATAAAAGCATACAAATAATTTACAAGACTATTAGTATTGTCTTATCTGAACATTTACTATGAAATAATTTCAATACAATCACCAAAAGCTTGTGCTTCCTCTGATATCAGTCACATACCATATATAGTTAAATGCACTGTCTTGCCAAAGCCCAAGGTAATTGAATCTAAAAATATACTTTTTTTTTTCATTCTGAACTAGCAAGATTGGTATTTAAACCAAACGTCATCAAATGCTGCACTAAGTCTGCCAAGATGAAAAGGTTACTTTAATACGACAAACTGTCCAAGAGGCATAGAAAATGCCCCTAAGCCACTGAAGATTGAATGCTTACATCCAGGTTCACCATTTTCTTCCCCAACATGCACACACATAAGAAAATAAAAATTAAAAAGCAGTACAGACAATGAATGTGAGAAAAGAACTGGTAACTGGAAGAAAACGGAGACTTTATACAGTCCAATGAAGACCAGATAAACTGGAAAGACATCTGATATTAAGCAAGTTTATCAGTTGGGGGGGAGTGGGTAGATTTTTCTTTAAAATTAGTGTATGTACGTAATTTCTAGTTTTAGGCTGAGACATTGACAGAGATTCTTATTTGAAAAAAGTATTTCTAATAATATCTAAATTTGGTACCAGGATAAAAATGTAAAAATCTGTTAACAAAAGCTCTTATTAAAAGAACTTTCTTTTAAGTCATTAAAAGACCAGCTTCATTATCCACTTCCAGAAAAATCAAACAAGTATTTTCTCTTTTCCATAAAATTTCCATAAGATTGTCCCCAAAGAATTTTCTCTTTCTCACAGGATGGAACTCTATTGCAGAAAAAGATTAAAAGTGCCTAGCACTCCCCCCCCCCACCCCACCCCCGCCAAAGTAAAGCTTGACTGATTTAACATAAGTTTTTAGATTCTCATCTTTGCTAAACTAAAAACTCACAAACTGCAAATCTGAACAGTTTACATTCTCAAACAAGTATCAAGAAAAAGGAAATTTTGTTTTTCTTTAGATTTGTGCTATGTAAGTAAAGGAGAAATATGTATAACCATTTCTCAAAATCCAAGAAAAAAGGTTTTTCAATTCAAATGGCAATTTAACAGAGTCACTGCTAACATAACTTGCATTTTCAATATGAGTTCTAAATTCTGAAACAGCTTAGAATCAAGTTTTCTAGAACTAAATATAAAGAGCAAGCAAGCTTTTGGGAAGAATTCAGAATCTGAAATTTAAATGTTTATGTAATACTTATTCACTTAAAATAAAAAAGTTTCAGTAGAACACATATTTAAGGTTGAAATCAAACTGATATTTAAGTTTAAGACCCAAAATCATAAGAATACTGTCCTTTATATTTAAAGGGGTAGTAGGTTTTCTAATATCATGACAGAAAACCAAAGCTTATCTGCCTGTTTTATAAATAACCGTGTCCTTTGTTGGATTCAAAACTCCACTTTACCCATTTCCCTTGGGTTTCTTCCATCTCACTGAATACCATTGTTGTATTCAGATTATAACATCTAGCCAAAAGCAGAGATCACATAAGCCCCCTGAAGACTTCCAAAACATTAAAACCAGTAGAAAAGCAGAGGAAATACTCTCATGCCTGGAGCTGCTGGGAAATCCTTCTCTCCTTTTAGAAAAATAAACTTCTTGTTCTAAAGATAATCACTTGAAGAACAAAACATCACCAGTACATACAAATACACAGCACTCTCAGTAATTCTACAGAATAATAATAATAAAAATCCTATAGATTTTGCTAGTACTTTGGCTTAAAAAAAAGAAAGACTAAGTAAAGAACTGTTATATCAAAGGATTTTTTGTCCAGAAAGAGAAGAGCAATAAAAGAGACTTAATCCGAATTTCTCCTTCTCACATTCAAATGTGCATTCCTTAACACTAACTTAAAAATAAATGCTTTTAAAAAGAATTAGGTGCTACTTTGTTGATTCCATTTAACCACAAAGAGAACATCTCAATCCTCTTCTATTTAAAAAATGAACTAGTTAAATATACAGTATATTTTCTGACTCAGTTGCTTATTAGGACATCTTTTTCTCACAGATATTCGAACAGTTCAAAAGTTTCTGGATTAAAAAAAGAGATAAGACTAAAGATTCATTTTTATATATTTTCACCATTATAGAAATGGCAGTCATTAACCTATCATTTTGTTTTTCAGTTATTTAAAATACATTTCGTTGTACAGAGAATTCTAAACTCAAACATTTTCAATACACACGTACATAAAGGCATGGGCAAAAAATACTACAGCGCAATCACTTTCTATGCACACATTTCTTTAGGTCTCCATGAAGCATGGCACAGAAAGTAGCTCATTTTTTCCTACATTCTATGGCTTGACTGTCCTGTTTCATTTGTGGTGCACTGCAAAACTCTAAAATTAACACATAGGTGTGCACATTATTCACCAATATGTATTGAGAATTCTCTCAAGAGAAGAAGACCTAACACATAAAACATTTGGCTTTCTAAATGCCAGTGCTGAAATCTGCAGTACAGTTCTGCTTTGGCATATATAAAGAAAATTTTCAAATCCTCTTAATTTATCACTATTTTTTAATATTTCCATTAAAAGAATTCAATTGCACATGAAGCCCACACAGCTAGAAAGAACCCAGAAAAGCGACAGGAAAATGACTTTTTAAAAATGCTGACGCTTTTCACACCCAGGTTCAGTCATGCCAGCTGAAGAGAGGTGTTAGATATGGTTTTATTTATTTTAAATCTTAAAAATGCAGTCATTTTCATGACATTACAAAAACTGGAACCAAGAGCAATTTAACTTCATGATCCTGATTCTTTGATTCAAAAGCACTTTTTAGGAAATAATTTCTGGTATAGTCGATGGATCACTTGTTTGCTACTGCTTAGAGTCAAATTATTTTATCCCAGATTTCCTAGTAAGCTTGGGATACAAAGAGATAAAAAGGAAAACACACACACACACACACACACACACACACACACACACACACACACCATAGTGATCCAATATCTGAATCACTTCAGATATGGCATCCATTAAGGGGGTCTTTGCTCCTAACTGTGTAAGGGTCCTTAGCTATGGTCTGACTTGCACAAGAAGTACACATGGCCCCTGACAGGCGCTTTAGTCCCCTTTGGAAGACACTGTTGGAGAGACTATAAATGACACAGTTGCAGAAACTGTTACTAATAGCAAGCCAGGTGGTCAAGAAGGATGCGAAGCGGCTGCTGTGACCAGTGGAGCTCTCCAACAAGAAGTAGATGATGTATGGCAACCAGAGGATGTAAAATACACTAGTAATTCGGAACAGAACCATGGCATAGCGCTTATCAGAACAGCTCTGCACCTCCCCAGTCTCCCCACTCTGGTTGCTGAAGCGGGCTTGCCTTTCGCTGATTTCCTTTGTGTGCTGTTGGCAGATGCGGAAGATGTTGAAATAGGTGAAGCACACAATGAGGGCTGCTGGGGCATACAACATCATCACGATGAACAGGGTGAAGTAGGGGTCGGTGTGCCAGGACTCTGCACACCACTGAAACACATCTCCATGATATCCAGGTTTGCCCCAGTGGAAAAAGGAAGGCAGGAAGACCAGGGTGGAATACAGCCAAATCAGGAAAATACACAGGCGTAGTCTCCAAGGTGTAACCAGAGTATTATAAGTTAAAGGTTTAGTGATGGCAATATATCTATCAATGCTGATACAGGCCAGAGAGGCCATGGAGACACTCTTCAGAACTGATACTACAAAGCCAAATGCCTGGCAAGTCAAAGACTCCTCTACTGGGAGGGAGTAGTGGAGGAGTGATAAAGAAGGGACCAAGCAGCTTACCCCAACCAAGAGGTCAGCATATGCCATAGTCTGAATAAAATAACTTGTAGTATGGTGGTTCAACAAAGGTGCACAGTGAAATACAAAAATCACAATGATGTTGCCAGTAATAATCAATACGGTGAGAAAGACAATAATCAATACTTCCAAAAGGCAAAAATTGACAGTTTCCAAATAGCCAAATGTCAAGAGGCAAAAAGGGCGGCTGCTCTGATTACCATCCAAGGTAGAGTTCATCTTGAGCTCAGGAGTGATCTTTCACTTCATGCTGCCGCTTGGCTGCTGCCAACAGTTCAAAGGAGCAGCTGCTGTCATTGCGGTCAGCTCTGTGTGTCTGTAATAATGCCAGAGGAGCCTTAGTCCCCAAGCTCCTGATGCTGCTCTGGTGCATTGCCTGCAGTGTAATTCCCCTTTAAATCCTTCTTGGAATAGGGAGAACCAGCAGCAGTTGTCTGGCCAGTCCCAGATGTGGCCATAGTACCAGGTTTACCATACACATAGCGCCAGGGGAGTAAGGCAAACTCTGGGTACATTGTCTTCAGGCCAATGAGGGTAGGGGTTAGGGGCAGAAGAGAAGGGAGGAAGATTAGGAGCTTCAGCAGGAGTTGTAATGAGTCTCCTCTGAACAGCTGACAGAAGAAAAGGAGAGAGCATTTTACATTTTGCATCCAATGCCCTAATCAAAGAACCTGGCTAGCTCAGGCTAGTATCAATCCTCCCACTCCGTCCCACCCCACCCGGTACAACTATTCGTGGCTACTCTCGGCAGCACCCCACATAACTGGTCCTTACTTTACAGAGAAGGAGCAACAACAGCAAGCTTTCGTGCTCAACATAAAACAAAATCAATCACAAGCCAGATCAATCTAATCCCTTTTCCTCTCATTTGAGCCTTTTGGGGGAGAAAAGGAATCTGCTTATGGCATTTCTGAAAATCTCTTACTATAACTACCACTAATAGAATTAGCTAAATTCCTTCACTGATTCCAATGTAATTATTTTGCCTCTTCGAAAACATTTCAACAGAATTTATCTGTCTAGCTCAATTTCAGAGTGTTACCTGTAATTCTGCATGCTGCAATCCAAACAAAAGCCACAAAACATCCTTAAGAGCAAGCCTTGCAGTGCAGGAATGTGCCTCAGCCCGTTTACTGCAGAACTGAGACACAGAGGGAGGGGATAAAGGAGGAGGAGGGGAAACGGGGAGAAGAGGGGGCTTGGGAAAAGGAAGAAGGGGGGAGGGGAAAGAAAACGCCTGTGTGCACACACCCTTCGGTATCTTTAGCAGCTCATTAGAATTCATCGCCAGAGAAGTGGTCCCTGATTTCCCAACTGCATAGTGGGGAAATAACTTAATATGCCTGCAGTGCAGTGTTTGAAAGCTGTTTCCTCGTCTGTCTGGAATCCCCCTTTTAGTAGATGAGCAGAATTTAGACTGCTAGTAAGGAGAAGGGGTTGTAACCTGGACAGGAGTTACAGCCAGGAATCAGACTGAAACACACTGCCAGAGGCGTAATGGTGAGAGGAAATTCCTATTTTCTTATAGCATTTTCCTCAGGAACAAAGAGCGATGTTAAAGAATGAAAGTATGTTAACAGTGCAGGGCAACTGAGGAATCATAATACATACAGCAGCACAAGAAGTTCTAGCTACAAGGCTAAATATTCAGCATTTTCTCTCACAATTCACTGGATACTGACCAATTTTAAGAAAGATGACAAAAATAACAAAGCAAACTTAAAAACCAGTTTTTCAAGATAAAAAAAAATAAAGAAAACCTCACCCATTTTGAATACTGAGGAAACAGCACACAATCATGCTGTTTCTGTATCCAATACTACCCTACAGTTTTGAGATACCATTTCTTGCTTTCTAGTTTGCTGAGAAGCAGTACACAAATATACAAACAAATGATGGACGAGTAAATATACCCATTTCCACTCAGGCGTTAAAATCATAGGAAGTTTCACAGTACAAATTAGCTTCTGTATCTAGGAAATAAACTAATGTTGGCATTTCTAAGCATTCTATAAAGTCGGCACACCTGGGCAGAGATAACACATTATGTGATCCAATTTTCATTTTTTGTTTTACATACATGCTTTCCCACTGAAAGCAAACAGCCACCCATAATCAGATTTCAATTAATTATATTTTAAGGTCAAAAGCACTATGCTTATTACACGAAGGCAAGAAACAGAAGAACTTATTGCGCATGAGCTTGATACATATATCTGACGAGTCTTACTGAAGAACATGGCAAAGTGTGGGATATAAAAAAAACCCATGGCACTGAACACCCATCTGATTCAAATCCTTACTCTTATATTACTTAGCCTCTCTTACCCTCAGCTTCATCATCTGTAAAAATAAAATACTCCCTACTTCACAGAGTTGTTGCAAAATAAAGGAGACAGAATATACGTACAAAGGACTTATCAATACTTAGCGTATAGAGAGTATATACATATAACTTTACTTCCTTTATTCTCAACTAAAATACCCTTCCTAAGTTGCCTGTGTTTTTCCGCCAACCATGTTGCACTGCTTAAAGATGGGGTCCTCTGATTCCTGAAGTGCCCCTCTTATTGTGACTGCCCAGGTCTGAGGCACACAATAGTTACTTGGATACTCTGCTGTCTGTCACACATTCCTCAAATGCATTGAGACTATCCATATGCAAGGCACTGAAAGTATCTGAAAAGACAGAATGATGATATGGCATCAATTATTCCCTCTACACTAATAATTTCTCTGCCTATATTGTCTCTAGTCCTGACTTCACTCCTGAGCATTCTTTTCCATTTCTAATTTGCCTGCTACTCTCTATATACACCTTCCACCTGGATATCCTGTAGATTTCAACCACAGCATGTCCAAAATTAAAATTTTTCTCAACAAATCATCCTCTTCCCCCACCCCCCCACCCCATACTCTTTCTTTACAGGCACTTGGTAATGAAATTTAAGAATCATTTTGACCACTCTCTCTTCCTCAGTGTACTATTCTTACCAGGTTCCTGGGTTCCTATGGTGGCTCTCAATTCGGTTTTAAATACTTTTTTTTTTTCCAGTTTTAAATACTTTAAACCATCATTAAATATTGTCTAGGCATCTAGGCTTGTTCATTTTTCTGATCTTTTCATTTCTGCCTAAATATCCAATAGGATTTGCTTTATTATGATATCCATAGTTTAAGAACAGTCAATGGCTCCCTATTGCCTTTCCAATCTGACCTCATTATTCCACCCCCCTCCCCAATATCTCGTCCTCCAGACAAACGAGGTTACTCACTCTTCTATACATTTACCACAGACTTTATTTTTGAATTCTCATTGAGTACTTAATATTGGATGAAAAAAGGAAAGATTTCTGAGTTATATTTCAATAAAGAAAAAAAGCATTCACCAAAGTCAGTAGTATAAGTTTTTCTAATTACTTGTGAATTTTGCCATGTAACTTATTCTCTCTTCATCTCAGGTGTCTCATGTATAAAACCAGACAGTTACGGTGATTTAAAAAAAAAAAAAAAAGACACTGCATTGGCTGATTACTTGAAAGAATTAAAAATGTAATAAAAAATATAAGCTATTACCTTACTATCACTAGTATAATAATAGTTCTTTCAACTTCATTTCTCTTTTAGTAAAACTACTCTTGGAGCTATAATCAAAATATTCATATAGGAAACTAAAAAAAAATTAATAAGCTTGAGAGCCACACTTTATCAGATAAGTCAAGAATTAAATGCTTTGCTTCAGACTAAAGAAGAATACTTTCCAAAAAAATTTTTTCTTCAAAAGACAAAAAATTATTAATGACATAAAGTGACAAGTCTATGTCTTCAAAAAAATCTATATGTACATTTCCTTTTTAATTTAAATTCCAGTTAGTTTACAGTATAATAGTTTCAGGTGTATAATACGGTGATTCAACATTTCCATACAACATCTGGTGCCCATCACCTATTTAACCCATGCCCTACCCACCTCCCCTCTGATAATCAAAAGTTTGTTGTTTATAGCTAGGAGCCTGTTTCTTGGTTTGCTTGTTTATTATGTTTCTTAAATTCCACATACAAGTGAAATTTGTCTTTCTCTGATTTTTTTGCTTAGCATAATACTGGCTCCATCCATTATACATTTCTTTTTTAAAATAATGCAGTCTCATTATGTGTGTGTATATGTGCATAGGTATATAGTTTTTTTAAAAATTGTATTTCTGTATATGTATATGATTGGAAGGAAACACACTGGAAATAAGCTCTACTTTTCAGTGGACAGTGGGTGGGATTACAAATGATTTTTAATTTTCTTTATTTTTTTTATATTTTCTGGATTTCCTAATTTCTTTATATAGTTGACCCTTGAACAACATGGGTGCATGGATCCACTTATAAGTGAATTTTTTTTTTTTTATAAATACAGTATATTACTATAAATGTATTTTCCTTATGATTTAAATAACATTTCCTTGGGGTGCCTGGGTGGCTCAGTCGGTTAAGCGTCCGACTTCGGCACAGGTCATGATCTCACGGTTTGTGGGTTCGAGCCCCACGTTGGGCTCTGTGCTGACAGTTAGCTCAGAGCCTGGAGCCTGTTTCAGATTCTGTGTCTCCCTCTCTCTCTGACCCTTCCCTGCCCACGCTCTCTGTCTCTCTCTCTCTCTCTCTCAGAAATAAATAAAACATTAAATAAATTTAAATAAATAAATAACATTTCCTTTTCTCTAGCTTACTTTATTATAAGAATACAGTATTTAATACACATATAAAACATGTGCTAATCAACTGTTAATGCTATTGGCAAGGCCTCCAGCCCACAGTAGGCTATTAGTAATTAAGTCTTGGGGAGGGCCAAAGTTATATGTGGATTTTCAAATGTGTGGTGGCTCATCCCCTCTAACCCACACATTGGTTAACGGTCAACTGTATTAGTTTTATAATTAGGTTTTCAAAAAGCAGCCAAAATAATATATAACATGTCCCTTTTGGTAAAGCTAACAAAAACTCTGGCCACAAGATGTCCTCCCAGAGCCACATTGAAAATGGATGATGCCAGGTTTAAGTCACCTACTTTATGGGCTTCAGTTCTATCTGTCCTTTTGCCGTCACAGCGTTATTCTTCCAGACAGTCTTTAATGGTCAATTTAACTCAAAATGGACCCCTGGAGCCCCAATTTAGGGCACTTGGGTGGCTCAGTTGGTTGAGTGTCCGACTCTTGATTTTGGCTCAGGTC